TTTACCATGGGGGGTGGTTGTGGCGCGGCTGGTGGTGTGGGGGGTGCCACTGGACCTTGCATTGGACCCTGCAGACATATACAAATTATTTAAGCACGAAAATAATACTTATCTGTAAGAGAAAAGGTATTTCAAAATGAATTTACATTGGCAGGCGCGGGTAGATTCTGGTGTGGGGGCACGGGGGGCGGAGCAGTGGCCGTTGACAGCGACATGTTGGGAGGCATCGGAGCACTGTAATATTAATAACAACATATATTACTACTATTCAATTTAAATGAATGAATCAAAGGGAATAAAGGACATCCTTTTCTAATTCTCCCTACATCAGATCCAGGGTAAGCGAGAGTCCAAGGGACCGCGCATATAAAGATTTGTCTGTAAACCGTGGTTCTTGCTTATTTAAATCATCCAGCGAAAGTGGACAATGGCTATCTCTTATAAAAGTTTCTCGCTTATTTCATCTTATATATAAAATTCTCGTATCACAATGTTAGTTACCATACTCCTCTGAAAAGACTTGACCGGTTTTTATGATATTTTATATGCATATTCAGTAGATCTGAGAATTGACTTATATCTATTTTTTTAATACAAATAGAGTAGAAGGCGACACCTAGAAATATTATATTTTGGGAAAGGAACAAAATTTGAGACCCCACAAACACACTTCAATTAGGGGGTCTAAGTGTGACTGTGGGATCCCAATCCATTACCCTATGTATATTATGTGTGAAGTACAAATGTATGGTGAATGTTATGTATGCATGAGATACCTGCTGGTGCGGTGGTGTCCGGGCGGGTGGTGCGCATGCGGTGCGTGCGGCAGAGTGTGGGCGGCGGGCGCGGCGTGCGGAGGCGGTGCGGGCGGCGCGCTGTTGCCCGCGCTCGCACTCTGAACCACCACCTGCTGTACACAGAATATTTACCCTTCCTATATGTCCCCTCCTCTGTCAAATCCCCTTTCCCCTCCTATAATTTCTTAATGAGAAAATGGTAGGAAAAGTTGATTCAAATTAAGATGGATGGAGAGTTTAATGTAATCGTATTTTATCTTATATTTTAAACTAATAATTATACGTAGTTCTTTGAATAGAGGTGTTGCGCCAGTACACCGACACAGTGTCGGATTTTCTTCCTAACAAATTAGTAATTACCTGATGATGTTGGTGCGGTGCATGGTACTGGCTGGGCTGGTGGTACTGCTGAATGGGCTGGTGGACTTGTGGTGTATGTTGTATGGGATTGTGTTGTATGTGAGGAGCGTGGTACTGCGGCTGTTGCAGCATCGCCGCGTCCTCTCGTGTCATTGTTCTGGAATATTAAATTTTTTTTTATAATATACGTGCCATAAACTCAATTGCCCTATTCGTTATTTAGTCATTAAGAAAGACCCTAAGGGTTACTATTAGAAGTCAGTTAATCAGAAGTATTAACAGTGGGTTTCGGAGACCAAAATTCTGTTTAAAACCTGTTTTGTCAAAGATAATAACGAGGATGACGATATAAGACATTATACAGAGATTTTAGTCCCAGAAACCAATGGTAAGTATTAAAAGTCAATATTAAGGGTTTGCTTAAGTGACCATTAAATTTTTAATACACCTAAGTGTTACGAATATTCATATTAACAATTTGGTAAATTTCTTTAGGTTCATTATTCTAAATACTATTTTTATTTCTAGTTCTAATACTCACCGTGGGTTTCTAGAGTCCAAAATCTCCCTTTAATACAGTGATTTTGAAGTCGGAAACCGACGGTTAGCTATTTAAACTAGAAAAGTAGTCTAATAAAGGAAACGTTATGTTTCTCCGATAATCTAGTCATATTTTAACTACAAAGCAATATAGACCCCCAAAAGCAAGCTACGACTATCCCCACCTGTACCCCATGTCCTCATCGTAGTGGGCGTGGCCGTTGTATGCGGGCGGGTTGGGGGGCGCGGGGGGCGGGGCAGAGTTGTTTGTCACTTTGTTCGCCAGAATCTGTAAGGAAAATTGATTATTATGACATAAAATAAGGTTTAAATTCAATTGATATGACTAAATTATAGAATTTTTTTTCTTCAGAAAGTTTAGATGGATGGATTTTTGTTACAAGTTATCTCCAGAACGGCTCAACGGATCACCATGAAATTTGGCATTAATATAGAAAATAGTCTAGAAGAACATATAGCCTACTTATTATGTCTTTTAATTCGCGTAGACGGAGTCGTGTGCGACAGCTAGTTACACTTTTTTCTTTATGAAAACACATAACATAAACACTTAGGAAGACAACAAAATAATGCAACGATAGTTACGTGTCGTATTTAAACACATGACTTTAAAAGTCCGTACTCTTAAACACTAAGCTACTAGCCTACCTCAAGAGTATGCATCATAGCCCTCGCAAAGCTGTCAGCGTCCTCGCGACAGGAGAAGTTGAGACCGTAGACCTGTCGCGCGTCCCGCCATTGGTGGAACGTGGCTGTCGCCTGATTGTACTTGAGACCGCGGACTATGCCACAGTTTATTACTACCTGGAATCATACAAACAATTAAGAATTTTAAATGGGTTATTAAGTATTTGCTTGTGTCGAATTACAACTCATAATTAATATTTAAATTTCTAAAGGTTATTTTATTTAATACTCATCGTCAGTGACTCAGTGGTCAAGCTGCAGGTCCTGGGTTCGAATCCCGCCATGTACCAATGTGTTTTTCGATTTCCGATTTACATATGTGCATTTATTCGACGTTATTACGGTGAAGGAAAACATCGCGATGCTGCAGATATCTGAGAAGAAATTCAAAGATATGTGTGAAGTCAACCAACCCGCACTTGGCCAGCGTGGTTGACTATGGCCTAGTCACCCCTAACTTAGGGTAGGCTCTGATTCCCTCGGTGGGAACGTATAGTGAACTTATGAAATTGGATTAAAATTAGATTTATACTTTGCATATCAGATTTTTAGTATATTTTATAAGTTTAAACCGTTGACTGTTAACTTTTAATTAACTTAAAAAAGTTTAAAAAGAAATCAATGTTCTTTAAAAGGTAACTATAGGAAATCCTAATACCATAATGAGTGTATTCAGTACAAGGACGTCTACTGATATATTTCTTGAGAACGTACGGCTTACGACATCATTTCAAAACCTATCAAATGCGTATATTTTATGTTGTTTAGAAAGTATCACTTACAATGATCTTATCATCATCATCAGCTCACTAGTTGTCCCCACCGAGGGGCTCGGAGCCTACCCTAAGTTAAGGGTGATTAAACCATAGTCCACCTCGCTGGCCAAGTGCGGGCTGGTTGACTTCACACATATGTTTGAATTTCTTCTCAGATATGTGCAAGTTGCATCACGATGTTTTCCGTCACCGTAAGGACATCGGATAAATGTATATATGTAAATTGTAAAACACATAGGTATATGACAGGATTCGAACCCAAGAGCTGATTGTAAATCAAGTGTTTAACCCTTGAGCCACCAACGCTATGTTGATCGTAGTTTACGTAATTAATGTTACCTCATGATCGTTTAGTTTCCTGCCGACGACGCGAAATGTGTTATGCTGCGTGTGGTGATAGATGTGGACCTTGGAGAGGCCCGAGCTGGAACCTGAGGGTATCCAGCGTTTCGCATGATCGTCGTATACCATCACTGACGCCCGAGCGCTGCTTATCGATTGCTCGCTGGAACAAAATAAAACATTTTTTATATTAGAGCCATTTTAACAAAAATGAATATTCGATTGCTTTTATTAATATAAGTAGGGTTTAAAATTAATAATGACGAAGTTTTGTATAATTCGATGATAATCAATCCCCGGGTTTCTGAAACAAAAATCACACCACAAAGAAAACGATAGTTTTAAATGGAGATTTTGAACTCAGAAAACCACAGTAAGATTTTTGGTAATTCTTATGAATAGTATAACGTGGGATTAAAGGTATATAGTGGGTTGAATTTACATAACATTGTTACATAATCTTTAACCTTTAAACGCCTTCGCAGAGTTGACCTTTAGGGCCTGACGGGTTTCGCTTAATTTAAGTAATACTTGACCACAAATATTACATCGATCACATGTTTACGTTACCAATTGCTTTTATAACAAAAAAAAATGATAAATTTCCAGAAATAAAAGAATATCGCGAACTTAAGTTAATCTTGCTAATATAAATGCGAATGTTTAGATGAATGGATGTTTGTTTGAAGGTATCTCCGGAACTGCTGCATGGATGTTGCTGAAATTTGGCATAAATATAGAACACTAGCTGTTGCCCGCAACGCCGTCTATTTAAGTTTTGTTTTTAATTCCGCATGGACAGAGTTGTGAGCAACAGCTAGTTCATATAAGTGTAGATATATAGATGAATAAATAATAGTAATTCATGTAATTTGTAAATAAAATAAACAGTCAACAAAATTTTATTTGAAACTGTGTATATCTCTGCGATGTTGCGTCTGTCTACATCAGTGGTTCCCAAACTTATTTTGTCTACTGCCCACTTTAACTTCAAATTAAATTAATTAATTACTGTGATCTATATATGTATATTAACGGATATTTCTATACGAAACTTTTACCCGCAACTTGAGACCTGCAGCGCCCACAAGGGGGCGTTATCGCCCACTTTGGGAAAGACTGGTCTACGTTATGAATCATTTTGTTACTTGTTTCTGTGTTACGAAATCGAACCTGAGATTGTTTTGTATGCAAATTTGCGAATGTAAGCCGCACTGTCACTTTCTGAACTACCACAGTGTTGTAAATTATCTATATATATATAAAAGAAAGTCGTGTTAGTCACACTATTTATAACTCAAGAACGGCTTTACAGATATGGCTGAATATTGTTGAGGAGGTAGCTTCGGTACAATAGTGCAGAACGGCTGCATAGATCGCGCTGTAATTTGGCATACGTATAGAACATCATCTGAAAGAACACATAGGCTACACTAATTAAGTTTTTTTTTATATCCACGCGGACGGAGTTGCGGGCGACAGCTAGTATTGGTATAGATTTTAATTCCGTATAAACGTAGTCGAGGGCAAAAGCTAGTTTGCAATAATCATATGTAATAGTGACGTGCCTATTGCATAGATTAATAATTCGTTTATAAAGTTTTTTTTATAACAGAAGGGGGCAAACGAGCAGCGGGAACACCGAGGTGTTCAACGACGCCCATGTACATGAGCAATACCAGAGGAACCGCAGATGCGTTGCCGGCCTTTGAGGTGATGATAAGCTCGCTTCTTGAAGGACCCTAAGTCGTAGCGGTTTAGAAATACCGCCGAGGACAGACCATTCCACAACGCTGCTGTGCGAGGCAGGAAGTTTCGCGCAAACCGCACGGTTGTGGATTGCCAACCATCGAGTTTTTTTTTTAATTTAAAACAGCGTACAGTTTGTAGGAATTTTATTAGTCATGTGAGAATAATCAACTACACACAATATAACAAACTCAAGTGATCTCTGATAAAATGATTGATGTTATTTACAACAATTTATCTATTTTAGAAATGTTGTGTGAACATCTGATTCAATTTTCAATGAAATCATTGAATTTCAATGACCGAAAGAGAAAAAATATGTCAATACTAGCTGTCCTAATTAACCTTCCCTAGACCTTCACGAACATTTCAAGAATAAGATAAATAGCCTAATGGTTAAGGGTACGGATTTCCGATCACAAGGTCGGGGGTTCGAATCCCGACATTCGACTATTATCGTAAACCATATCCTAGCACAAGCTTAGAGCTTATTTGGAATGGTTAAAGAAATATTAGTAAATTTACACAAAAATCTGCTAATATTTTACAAAAAAAAAACCGTTCGGCCGTTCTCGAGTTTTAGCGAGAATAACGAACAGCAATTGATTGACTACTAGCTGTCGCCCGCGATTCCATAGGCGGAGTATTAAAACACTAAATTAGTAGCCTATGTGTTCTTCCGGACTATGTTCTACATCTATGCCAAATATCAGCGAGATCCATGAAGTTATAGAGATACTTTTTAACATCCATCCATCCGTACATCCAAACATTCGCATGCATAATATTAGTAAGATGATCAGTTTGAGCTTTAACTTCAATTATAATACTGAGGTTGTCGTAAGGAAATGTTTTCTTGCATAAAAAGTTCTTTTACAAGTCAGTTGTGATGTACTTCATATCTAGTTTTAGACATTAATAGCTATCGCCTGCGACTCCGTCCGCGTGGATATAAAAAAAAACTTAATTAGTGTAGCCTATGTGTCCTTTCAGACTATGTTCTATACGTATGCAAAATTTAATCGAGATCCGTACAGTCGTTCTAGAGATATCTACAAACACCCATCCATCCACATCACATCCATCTAAACATTTATAATATTTGTAAGTTAAATGCAAAGCAGCTCTTCAAGGCATACATTCGAAAAAGAGTGAATAAATAGTATCCTATGTCCGTCTCCTGGCTCTAAACTACCTCCTCAACAATTTTCAGGCATATCGGTAAAGCCGTTCTTGAGTTATAAATAGTAACTAACACGTTTTTTTATATTTATATAGATTACTTAGGATCATTTTTTGCGAATGGTGCGTTTCATTACTAAGTCAAGTCAGATTAGTGAGGGGACATAAACGTTGACATTTAAGGCTAGTGTTGCACCGATACAGTCAGTGTCGGATTTTCGAATATTAGAAATCACAAATACTTTTTTTAATAACGCCTTTATGTATAAATTATTATAGCAGTCGTCATCATCATCATCATCATCATCAGCTCACTATATGTCCCCACCGAGGGGCTCGGAGCCTACCCTAAGTTAAGGTATAGCAGTCATAAAATAATTAAATTCCCAATTGAGTTGTACACAGTTATCCGACTTATTGTTTTAGTATAAAGAAATAGGGGTTTCATAATGGTATACTTTTTATATTCCAGGTAAACGGACAATAGCCCGTCCAATTGTTCTGTATAGTTTCACTTCGCAGTAAACATTGACTCTGTCCAGGTTTTTGGTTCAAATCTCGCCTACGGTTTGATGTATTCGCGTAAACTTTAGTTAGCTTGCACAGAGTAATACAGAGAGTTTAGACAAATCTTTTCATGATTGGAATTAATTGGTTTTTTAAAAGATTTCACAAAAAATATATTTTTAATAAATTTAAACTAGACTTTAGTATAATTTAAGTTATTGCTTGTTATGAATGAAAGCTATATTGACAAAGGTGTCTTGATATTATAAATCACTAGCTGTCACCCGCGACTCCGTCCGCGCGGGATTAAAAATACATGTTGGCCGATTCTCAGACCTACTCAATATGCTTACAAAATTTCATGAATCGGTCAAGCTGTTTAGGAGGAGTATGGGAACGAAAATTGTGACACAAGAATTTTATATATAAGATAATAAACTTGCTATCACCCGCGACTCCATCCGGGCGGAATCAAAAAGACATAACCTATGTGTTCTTCCCAACTATGTTCTACATCTATGTCAAACAGATAGATCCATGCAGCCGTTCTGAAAATACCTTCAAACAAACATCCAAACATTTGCATTTATAATATTAGTAAGAATTAATCAAAAGTTTTGTACAGTCTATCTATTAAATACTCTATGCATCCGTTAAAGATGTTAAACACGTGTGGGCAGAATAAACAATTGAATACAGTAAGCGAATATAAAAAAAAGACTTCATAAATATAATTTTGGACTGTTAGAAAGTCGTGACGTCATAGTTAAAGGTCTGTATAACAAAATAATAAACTACTATAATAACATTCTTCACTTCATAATTTTAGGGCAAGACAAAACAAGCAAAATTGTTAGGTAATTTGGTAATGTACTGCATCCTGAGGACTACAGAATTATGATAAAAGCCTACTTAAATACCCTTTAATATAAGAAGTATGAATTTAATAAACTTATATAAAAACGGCTAAACACTCACGTATATTCGTCCGGTGGCGGCACCGACTAGTTTCGAGCCCATCGGGGGCCCTTCATAAGTGTGAGTGGGATTGGTATTATTTGAAGATGAAAGGCCCACGATGGGCTCGAAACTAGTCGGCGCCGCCACCGGACAAATATACGTGAGTGTTTGGCCGTTTTTATAAGTTTATTATAATGTGTTACGAAAGTTTGAACAATTTAATATGAATTTAATCTTACTAATATTATAAATGCGAATGTTTAGATGGATGGATGTTTTTAAGAAAGTATCTCCAGAACGGGTGAACGGATCTCGATGAAATTTGACATACATATAAAACATAGTATGGAAGAACACATAGGCTACTATTTGTTTCTTTTTTTTAACCCCGCGTCATATATAGCCAGTTTTATCAGCCAATTACAGTAAAATAGTCCAAGAGCTGATTAAATCCATAACATAAACCTTCACAATATGTAAACATCAATATAAAGAACTTAAGCTTAAGTCGAAAGAGCAAAGTTGTGCAGCTTATAGAAAACTTCCGAAGCGAGGTCAGATAACATTAACTTAACTTAGCGTAATGACGACCTTATCTTAATAGTTAAGTCGATTTATTTTTATCATGAAAGACCTACTGTTTGGGTTTGTTTAAATGTCTTGAGTGAACAGAAGAGCCTTTGGATTGCCAAAGAGGCTTAATCTAGACTTCTAAAAGACCTACTCAAGTTTTTTTGAAACCTGGGTTTGGATATGTAATTTATTTCAAATCAAGGCTTAAATAAATTAAATGGATATCTTACTTCATACTAATATTATAAATGGTAAAGTTTGAATGGATGGATGGATGTTTCAAGGTATCGCCAGAACGGCTGAACGGATTTATTTTATCTTGGTCTTGAAATGTTCGTGCCGGTCTAGGGAAGGTTTAAAAGGTGAAAAAAATACAAATAATTGCCGGGGAAACGTGCATCCTCTCCTCCGTCAATTAAAGATAGGCAACGCATATGCAATTGCGTATGTCTATGGGCAACGATCACTTCGCTATTTCAGCAATTTCTAGTGGCTACTCGCTTGTTTATCACCTTATGATATATAAAAAAAAATCTGCACGATGTAACACTGTTTGAGACAGTCCTGAACAACACATCCATTTTCGCACCATAAACCTTTGTTAATCACCTTTAAATCTTAATGACCTAATGGTTAAGAGTACGCGTTCCCGATTACGAGGTTGGGTATTCGAATCCCGCCATTCGACTATTGTAAACCAAAAGCTTAGTTGGAATGGAACAAGAAATATTAGTAAATTAACAAAATTCTGCTAATATTAAAAAAAAAGCATCATGACTACAACATTATGACGTCAATAAAAATCTATTTAAAAAGGCATACTTAAGTTTTTAAAACATGAAACAAAGAAATGACTGGGAACTAATTAGACTAATATTTTCATTGGAATGTCGCATAGATTATAGTATTATAGAATTCCGAGAAATATGTTTTATTTCACATAATAATGGATCATTTGAGATACAGGAAAAGGTAATACTTATTACTCATAAGCTGTTATTATAAAATAGCTATCGACCGTGACTCTGTCCGCGCGGGATTAAAAATATACGTAATAAGTAGCCTATGTGTTCTTCAAGACTATGTTCTACATCTATGCCAAATTTCAACCAAATCTATGTTGCCGTTTTAGACACCTTCAAACATCCATCTAAACATTCGCATTTATAATATTAGTAAGATTTTTAGTTTAGCTTTTGCCCGTGGCATACATCTAGCTATAATTTTTTTGTCTAAGAAATTGTACACGTCTCGATATAAATATAAAATACTAGCAACGATCATATATTAATTGATTACTAAGGGACTGCTTAATTAACAATTAAAGTATCCTGAATGTGGCAGTATCTTAATAATATTATAAATGCGAATATAAAAAGGATGGATGTCGGATAGAACGGCTAAAGAAATCTCTCTGAAATTTGGCATAGTCTGAAAGAACACATGCTATTAATTCAGTTTTTTTTTAATTCCACTTCCTCGGACAGCTATTAATAAAATAAAAACTTACTATGCCCAGTAGTCTTCCCATTTATCCTTCGTAGAACCATATCCACGTGGTAGAGTTGATGTTTTTCCTTTACCATTGAGAGAAGATGACGACACTCTTTTATCCGACATATTGAACAGAGAGAGTCTCTGAACTGGCTCCGAACGGAAAGACTGGAAGGATATTTGTGATACAGCATCATCAGATTTCAAACTACTCTGCGATCCACGTAAACTTTCGTAATGTTTTCTTTCTTCTCCTGGAGATTTGTTCTCACTATTCATCCTTGTTAAAGGTGGTCGTGGTGCTTGACGACGGTACACAAAAGTATCCGATTTCATTGTGTTCTTCTTCATAGGTTTTGGTGATTCTTGAACATTAATAACGGATGGTATTTTAGACTCTTTTTCTAAATCTATTTCGTGTTCCAATTGATTTTGTACGTGTGCTAACATTTCTTCTAAATCACCCAAATCGGGGTCCAAATTCATTTTGACACGACGCATTTTTTAACTGCACTTAACTGTTAACCGATGGGTATTGATTGTTTATACTGACACGAATTCCGGTAATAAAAAACTGGGGTACTGGGACACGTGCGCGCGCGCCGACGGTCGGCGCGGGAATGAGATAATCTGTGCCTGTCAGACTACGAACGTTATCATGACATCCGATAACTGGTCCTTTTTAAAATGAGTACTGATTTATTGTAAAGTGGATTAACACTGCATGTACAGTCGAGGACATTTATTTCCTACCCATTTAAATATGACTTTTATAATGCAATTATATCAAAAACTTGTTAATGCTACATGCGTGGAAATTAAATGGGAAGTGAATTTATTTATCTACAATAGTCTTATCATGCCCATAACTCACTTAAAAAAAAAAACAGAGAATAAAGTATTGTATACAAAAGTCACGCGCGACTCCGTCCGCGTGGTATTAAAAAAACTTAATTAGTAGTCGATGTGTTCTTCCAGACTATGTTTTACAGATTTCAGCGAGATCCATACAACCGTTCTGGAGATACCTTCAAACATCCATCCGTCTAAACTTTAGCATATATAATATTAGTAAGATATATCTATCTGCAATTTCTGTGACCAAATCGATTGTAAAATTATTTCCTGTAATAATGATTCATATTTCATATGACACACGGTTTAATATCGAATGACGTTGTTACCAACTAGGTTAGGTATTTTAAAAGGAAAGTCGTTATTTCCTTTGCTTAAGCGAAATACTTATTAATAGGACAAATGAGAGAGGTCTGCACTAGTTGCAGTAAAAAGTTGTATTATGAAAGTACTGAGTTATCATTTCAAATTGCATTTTAGATCCTATTCCTTGGATGATAAAGTTCAATTCACTTTAATAAAGATTTTAGTGATGTAACAAAGATTTCAAATAATAATGAAAGGGTCTTTAGGCTTTTTTAAAAAAGATTTTTAGTAACCAGTTCTTTTCAGTTTAAATATTTGGTTTAAAAGAAACTAGTTATCTTTTTTTTTAAATAAGATCACAACATGTTTCCTGTATGTTCCAGTAATGTAAAAATACTATTCTTACTAATATTATAAATCCGAATGTTTCGATGGATGGATGTATGTTTGAAGGTATCTTCAAAACGGTTGCATAGATCTCGCTGAAATATAGCCGGTAGAAATTAGTCTAGAAGAACACATAGGCTACTAATAAAGTTTATTTTTATTTCCGCCCGGACAGGGTTGCGGGCGATAGCTAGTGATTTTATAAAACTAGCCATATGGCTTACCAGAGATAACTGTAATCAATAGCGAAAAAGGGGGCTTGCGAATACTAATAATTTATAATATAGGAGAGTTGAAGCGAGGATTTTGGTTTTTACTCGAGCGTGGCAGTTAAACATAAAGAAGGAAGGAACTTTGCACCCAATCGAGTACACCCACAACACATGAAAAATGTAGAGCCGAGCCTTTAAGCCGAGTTTAAAAAAACTATAATTAAAAATAACTGGCACGTCAGTTTGAGACAGAGAAAAAAATTAAAAAAAAATTGTATATCGTTATCAGCAAAACAATTGTACCATGTTTACTCAATTATTTTTTCGATAGATGTTATCGATAAAAACATTAAAAAAGTATTTATCCTTTACAGAAGATAAATTAATTCCTCTCGCATTCACATCCAAACATCTACATAGATTTCGGTCGTTTATATTTTATCGATATTTATTTAAAGTACATCACTAGTTGCGCGTACGCATACAGGAGTGACATCAGACAAGTATTATCTAATTGTTACATGTCCCTAATGTACAGATCTGATTTAATTGGGTTAAACAGAATGTTGATTGATCAATTTGCATTGTACAATTGTAAATACATAATATATAACTTTAGGTACATAATCATCAGCTATACGTCCCCATTGAAGATCTCGGAGCTTACCCTAAGTAAGTGACTAGGCCATAGTCAATGTTGACCCAGTGCGGGTTGACTTCATACATCATTGAATTTCTTTGCAGATATGTGCAGCATCACGATGTTTTCCTTCACCTTAAGAACATCGGATAAATGTACATATGTAAATCGAAAAACACATTGGTACAAGGCGGGATTCGAACCCAGCACCTGCAGATTACAAGTTAAATGCTTAACCCCTGAGCCACCAACGCGCTATGTTTAAAATTCTTATAATATTGTTTAAAATTATATACGTATTAAAACTTCGTTTTAGGACAATTAACAGTTTATATTAACCAAATATTTCCTTCTTCCTTCAATAAGAAGTTAAATGGATTAGTTATAACCACCGAAGCGTACCTTCCTTGGTTTTTTTCCTTCCAATTTGTAAAAACTTACGGCATTACTATAAAATTAAGACAATGTGACAAGTACATTTCAGCTTAAATATACGTTAACCTGCAATCAGATAATAGCAACCGATCAAGATCGAGGTTCGGCCCTCTCGGGCACCCTGGAATCGGAATGCTAAACGCGTAATGAGTGACAGCCCAAGCCGAGGTCTCGGGGGCCCTTAAGACCAGTCACTCCATGGAGCGTCCACTATGAGCTCGGTGACCTCCCAATCCGTTAATAATAACGAAGTAACAGCCCGAGCCGAGGCTCCTGAGGGAGCCCGCGAGTCTTGTTACTCATAAACGAGATTCAGGCTAAGCGCCACCTGCGCTCGGCCACCTCAAGCCCTGTGAAGCTGTAAATGTCTCGTCAAGGCAAACAGTCACTGACTACTTAGTCACAAAAAACAAATACGTTAACCTTTTTATACCGTGACTTAACTCGTAATATTCGACAAATCATGGCTATAGAAAACATTATGCGTAGATTTGCTAAATAATTTCTTGATCAATAAATAATGAAATACTTAAAAGTAGTGTATACATATTTTTAGTGAAACATATAACTACTTTGACGTCCATAATATCCTTCAGCGGCGTTCAAAAGGTTAACACGTGTTTAACTAAAAAGTGTGTAAGTATATATATTAGGATAATACAATTAACATTTACATTAAACAGGCTTAAATACTCTAGCTTTTAAAAAAATATTCTGTTACGTTTAACTGTAGAAAAATGTTTTTTTTTTTCATCAAAGTGCCTCGATTCTATTGAAACAAAATAATTAGTATAAAGCCAATATAACGTTTAAAACATAATATTTCCTAGGACCTGTATTCGTTGTTTACATTTAAGCCGTTTCCCTTCACGTTTGTAAGATGGTCGCAAGAAATGGAATTAAAACTCGATCGAGACTTTCTAGCGGTGACCTGGGAGATAGGCGCGATTTCTCCGCACGCCTCACGAGGATTAATTCTGAACAATATTAAACGTAAGGTATAGTAAGGTTCAAACTTTATGTTAGTGCCATTTTCATAGCTCACTATACTACCCTACTGAGGGTTTGGGAGCCTATAAGTTATGGGTGACTATACCATAGTCAACCACATAGGCCCAGTGCGTTGACTTCACACATATCTTTGAATTTCTACACAAATATGTGCAGCATCACAATGTTTTCCTTCACCGTAAGAACGTCGGATAAATGTACATATGTAAAACGAAAAATAATTGGTATATGGCGGGATTCGAATACAGGACCTGCAGATTACATGTCATGTTTACAAGGCCCGTTGTATGATATTTTATTTAGAGGGCGATTCAATAATGTTTTTCACTTCGTTATATGCATATTAAAATAATTTATGGTACTCTAGGATCGAATATTGATTTCGTCAGTAAGAGGCAATTAGATTTGACATTGAAACATTTAAATAGTCTAAAGGTCTCAATAGCAATGCATAACACGTACAAGAAATCCCCTTCGGATTCCATTGCGTTTTTTGTATCCTTAAATGGTGTAATACTAACAAGGAAAATAGCAATGTATCAACAAGTTTAGGATTATATCTTGCTTTTATGAGAAAATGAAAAAGACGGACAATATATTTTTGTGAAAACACACCGATATGTTTTTCAATTTTACATTTACATATTGTTTGGAAGAAAATCCGACACTGTGCCGGTGTACTGACGCAACACTAACCTTACTAAACTATCAATAGTTCCTCAAGGTTTATGTCCCCTCACTAATCATTCTGACACTTGACTTTGTAACGAAAGCGCGCCATTCGCGACAAAGGATTCTAACTAAAAATGTCTGAAAAAATGTACGTTTATCGACATTCTTACGGTGAAGGAAAATATAGCGATGCAGCACATATCTGAGAAAAAAATCGAAAATTTATGAAGTCAACCCGCACTGGGCGAGCATTTATGACCTAGTCATTAACTTAGGGTATGCTCCGAGCGCCTCAATGGGGAAGTACTAAAATGAATGAATGAACAATAAACCAAAGGTTTATAGCCGGTCCATATATAGTGAGTTGTTTTATAAAATATTTTAATCAAGTCCTCATAGGCACACTTATCAATAATTACGCCATAACTTCCTGTGTACTGAGTTCGTTCCCGTTATGATAACATTGTATTGCAATTGACACAACATTATTGTAGAATACGAGTTGTCGCCTGCGACTCCGTCCGCGCGGAAAAAAAAAACTTTATTAGTAGCCTATGTGTTCTTCCAGACTATGTTCTATATGACAAATTTCATCGAGATCCGTTCAGCTGTTCTGGAGATACCTTCAAACAAACATTCATTCATTTAAAACTAATTAAATAAACAATTATTCACTAAGTAACGGCCACCAAGTATATAAAAAAGACATATAGTAACCGACATTTCACTAAGCACGTAGTTACCAAGAGTACTCTACCATCCGCCATGCCAAGCCCCTCATAACTTAGTTCATAACTTACAAAAACACCGGATACCGGACGTCACAGGAAGTTGCCAATAACGCACTCGGCTGCTATTGGACGACAATTAAATATGTTCATACTGCGTCAACCGATGCGTACGGGATAAGCCTTGACACTTATACAGGTTAAGACTAACGAACTTTGCGGATGATTGCACAAGTGTTCCCTCGACTCAGTCACAAGGCGATGTGATGGGACGTTGGGTTTTAGTGGTTATTCCACCACCCTCACGGCGCCGGCCAGTTCCATATACCCATGGAAACGGGAGGGATGCGAAAATGCATTTACCAACGTAAAAAAAGAACAAACTTCAGAAAGGGAAGACGTTATACCAGCTAAACTGCGGCTAGACATAGTGCATTCGCTTCAAATTGATTCCATAACGATCTTCAAAAATATATAAAATTGACCATAACTTTTGATAAGTCACGTCATTGTCACACGTCAGTTTCATAAATTTTTGAGATTCGTTATGTATTCGAAGCGAATGCACTTTT